AGAGCACGACGTGAAAGAGGGTTTTAAGTCTTAATCAAGTAAGCTGCCTCTTGCTTCCCTATTGGCTGATTAATGATCCTCCATTCTAATCCAGTTCTAGGAGATACCAAGGCCAACTAAAACTACAATTCCATGCCCACCCCTTGCATAAAACACAGTCTAGAAATTAGGCTTCTTGCAGGTTATGAGTTGCATAATAATAACTGTATTATTTAAAAACAGTAGGCTGTGATTAAGTACTTTCCAGGGATCAGGTACTTTTCTAGACACTCTTGTCACTCCAAAAGCAATACTTTATGGATTTTTGGTGTACTGAATGGTTTGAACTGAGGGATATTGGAAGGGCCTCAGAAACTGTGTCCCTCTAACCTTCAGCTTCTATCCTGTTTCCCAAAATGAGTCACAGAAACTAAATTCTTCTCCAATGCAGGTTTCAGAAACTAAAGTCTCACTTCTACCAAAAAAGCCATCAAGCTTAGAGACGTCATTTTCTCTCTTCTACCTTTTCTTGCAAATTTTGTTTCAGAGAAATCCGACCTCATGCCTGGGAGGAAGAAATGCTACACAGAAAGGCCAAGAAGCATCTAGGGGGATAGGATTTTCTGGGTTCCCCCTCAGTCTGTTACCACTAGACCATGCCCTTTGGGCCAATGCATTCTTCACTGCTAATAGTCATTGAAATTGAACATAAAAACAGGCAGTTTTCTCTGAGTTTTTGAGACGTAATTTCTGAAGTCTTTCACATCCTAAAGAACTTTAATTCAACACATTTGTCCTGTTTTTCTCTTGTTAATCTGTCTGTGTTACAACTGCCAGCCGTGGCCCTTGCGGTGGGGTAAGGAGAGATCCCACATCTTTGTGCCCCCATATCACTTGCTTAGCATCCTTTAATCTTCACAACCACTCAACGAGGCAGATTCTGTGATTATCGCATTTTAAGGCTGAGAAAACTTATCCTTGAAGTTGTTAAGTAATTTATTCAAGATCAGAGCATTAGCTAGTGGACGTAGCTACTATTAACGCTGCACTCATCACATTAAACTGATGATCTCATTTTATAGGGCCCTTAATGCTCAAGAAGTTGGCTCCAAAGCCTAGAGTTTCAAGCTTTTGGTCCTCCAGAGGTTAGAACTCACGGGAATGTGGGGCTTTGTCTTAGTTACTTTTCTTGTTGCTGAGACAAATTACCAGACACCCAAAATTAAAGGAGGGAATTGGTTGTAGCTCACAGTTTGAAGAGGTGTCAGTTTGTGGTTGGCAGAGTGGCCCAGCAGAAGGGCATCACAGAGGAGAAACAGCTCATGGCAGACAGAAGGCAGAAAAGTCACAAAGTAGCAAGCAGCATGCCACAAGGAGCAACAATGGCAGCTCTCTCTCTATCCCTTGTATGCTATCCAGGGTACCCATACTTAGCACTCACACCAGGATGGGTCATCATTTATCCCAGCACTGCACCACAAAGCAGTCCCAGCCTCACATCCTTAAACTCAGCATCGCACACTCTCGATCCAGCCACCTCTGAAAAGCCACACCTATGATCTCATGAGGCTTTGTGGGAACATCTGAAGGCCCAAGATCTCAGAAAACTCCAAGAAGCATAAAGGAGCAGCTGAGGTGAATTTCCCAAGCGATCCTCCAGCTCTCCTTCCCAGAATTCGTGTCCTTCAAGTGAGTCCTACCGACACTCAGCCTCCTTGGAAGAAAGGCGCTGGCCAGTTTCCATTTGTGTCTGTAGGAATGCACTGAGAATATCTTTCCCACTGGGGCCCAGGACCTAATGAGACAGCTTCTGTGACTGCATTTGCCCCTTAGCTGCTTTTCTTTCTTATTGAAAATGGGAGGTGAGGAAGGATGGCTTGGCTCACACAGATCTCGGAGGGAGACTGCATGCGATGTTCTCACTTGTTCCTGCATGACAGACGACAAGAGGGCGGAGTGGCAGGTTCCCACCTAGAATCACGGGAAATTAGATGTTCTGGGTCTTCAACATGCTTGCACCAGTTGTGAGAGGCAAAACCAGGTTTTCTGCTGCCAAGCCACGGACTCCTTGTGCTACTCTAAGTCCTTTTTCTGACTTGGCCAGCAGCATCTCTCATAGATAGGAGTCTAGATGTTTATAAGGATGTCTTTTTAAAATTTTTTTGTTTTGTTCATTTCCTCTTTTAAAAACACACATAGAGGAGTTATTGTTTAATGGGTACAAAGTTTCAATTTGGAAAGATGAAACAATTCTGGAGATGGAAGAAGCATTCTGGTGCAAAATACCCTCTGAACCCTGCTAAATTTTATCTGCTCAGGAGAGAAAGGGTGGGGGGAAGTGATGCTAGCCATGACTCTGTCTTCTCTGTAAATCCAAACTATCTCTGCAGTCCTCCAGTGGAATTTTCTTATATCTCATTAGCAAGAATTAAGCTTCTTGGCTTTTCTGAGCAGCAAGAATGACTGGAAAAGGCATTACGTAGCTTCCCAACTCTCGAGCTGAGGAGGAACATAGGGAGAAGGAAACTGAGAGTGAGTACTATTTGCACAACCTACAGGCTGTGTCCAGTGTGCTGCTGAAGGACAGCTGAACACATAGAGATCCGGCCAGGCATAGGACCTGCTTTTCTGATTTCTAGCCCTGAAGTCTTGGATGTTTGATGTATCTTGTGTTGCCTGTATTTTCATCAAAAAGGACTGTCTGGAAAAATATTTTTCAAAGATAAAAGCTTCCTGTTGCTTGTGTTGAAATTATTCACATGCTAAGAGGGTATTAGCAAAACACTGGGCATGGCAGGAGCCGGAATATCTGAGTTCTGCCCCAGGCTGGCTCATAGTTTTGGGAAACACTCTCAGGTCTCTGTGCTTATGAAATGTGATGCTTTTTTCTCTGGTTAGTGTGGTTTATTAAGTGCCCATTAAATGCTTGCATATCTCTAGATGAAAGACCTTGTAGGACACATAGCTGCTATTAACTATGCATGTGTTGTCGTGTATGGGCTCATAACTCAGGGTGGTGTCTCGCAGATTGGAGCAGGAGGACAGAAACTTCCCACCTGCTTCCAGGTCAGGAGCAGAATCGAATAAGGGCTGTAAGGGGGTCACTTAAAATCAGGAATGTGAACAACCCCTGCCCTTTTTTTTTTTTTTTGGTAGCGGGGATCGAACTCATGACCTCACACTCACTGGGCAGGCACTTATGCCACTGAGCTAAATTCCTAGCCCTAACAACCCTTTTTAATTACCCAACCCAGTTATGCACATTTGGATTTTCTAGATAGGTCTCTATGCTTTCTGATCCCATCATTTGCTTTTTTCTATTGAAGGCACCAACCGGAAATTGACAGGGGTCACACATTTTAGTCCAAAGGTGACAGCTCATCTTCACCACTGAGCCTTCCTGGATGACTTCAGGTCCTACTCTTTCATTCCCATGTTCTGAACATTTCAGAACTGAGTGGCACTGAAGTCTGCTTCTCAGCTGTTTTACAAGCCATGTTTACAAGAAGTGTCAGGAAGATGCAATGTTTGGGGGAGGCAACGCACAGCTGACTGGGACTTCTCAACTCCAAGAAAAAGCACATGACCAGATGCATGGCGAGCCCTCAATAAATACCAGAGCTGGACCCATGAGATGGACTGTCCATAACTCTGCCAGGTTAGTTTTACTTTGAGATGTTGGAGTAAGCATAGAGTCAGTCGCACAACAGAAGGAGGAAGAAGCAAGAGCATCCAACCTCTAAAGAGGGCACAGTGCAGTTTGGTGCCCTTGCAAAGAGTCCCTGCTGGTCAGCCTGCAGGGACATTCTGTGAGCTCAGCGAGATACTGACTTTGGAAATACTAAAAAAGGAAAGAGCAGTTCTGCAAAATTGGAAATGAAATGTCTTCCAGGACAGCACTTCTTAAACGGTAGGAGAATATGCACCTTAGGAGACTCAGAAGCAGAGTCAGTTGAAAAAAGCTCAAAATATGATTACGAAGTAGAGTTTTTATTAGTTTGGCCTCAGGATGCACAAATAAATAAATAAATATGCAGAAAAAAAACACGATCATTTTATGGAAAGTACATTCGTTGCTTAAAAGTAGTATCTTCCTAAAGTGATACTTCTTGGTCCTAGCCACATGTCAGATTCACTCATGCTGATGGAGAAGTGATTTTAGAGTGTTTTTTATGCGTGACTATTAATAAGCCATCTGCAATTCTGACAATTTTATGTCCTTTGCCAGAACTGTACTGCTTTCCCTCTTGAATCCTAAGAGCTTTTTATCTTCCAGACACCTATGATATTGATGTGCTACCCTCCTTGTGTCTTAGAGAGAGGTGGGAGTGGGGACTCCCAAGGAGGTGGAAGCTGAGATTCTGTTTAAGTCTTTTCCATCACTCGTTCTCCCATTTAAAGTTCAGGTATCTAAGGGCTAAACTTGCTTGGAAGTGTGGGTAGCTCCAAATTGCTCATCAATACCATGTTTCAGAAGTCTTCACTGGAACATTTATTGATTTTTTCAGGCTCCCTCGCATAGCTCCATGCATCCATGTCTCTATTTAAATATCTTTTGCTTTCTCATTCATCACCAATACATAACAGTGCTGGCATCAGAACACTGTGTTCTTTCTAGTTGTTGTAAAACCAATGTACCTGACGCTTGGCTTGAAAAGTTGTCAATATAAATAACACTTCAATTCACATTTGGCATCAAAGGGCCTTGTCCGTATAGATCAGGTCATGAAAGTGTGAAACCATACATCTTGGCACATAAATGTTAAATAACAGAATAAATTAATAAATACATAAATTACTTAAATATTTAAATAGCATTAAGGCCAGTGGCAACAAGTGTCTTGAAAAAAATCTATAAATAAATTAGTTCCTTATGTCAGTGTGCATTTAGCTCTAAATATAAAAATATAGCAAATATCCTAAAAATTTTAAAAAGTAAATCAATAACATGTCTTGGTGGGTCTCTTCCAACATGCCTTTAAGATCTTCTGACTAATCTCTTCCATTTTTCCTCTGAAGTTTCATCTTGAGACTGAAACCTGAAAAAGAATGTTGCAGTTTCATGTGGATCAGAAATATGTCAAACCTTCTTATTTCTTACCATCCATACCCAGGCCATGGGGCTTGGGGCAGCCCTATGAGAAGGACTAACATTACCTTGTGTGGCCTAAATTTTGGTGCTACCATGTTTTCTGGAAGCTCTCTTGAGGCTTTTGCTTAAAGCAACGTCTGATTGGGTTGCTTCCTTATTTAAAACACTTTACTGGCTTCCCTGGGTCCTAGGATAAGGTTGTAACGTCTGGAAGCCTCTAAGTTCCTTCTTGCTCTGACTCCTACTTTCCTTTCTTTGTCTTCCCTTCCATGAGCACAGGACCCATGCTTGTTTTCTTTATTACACTCTCCCTGGGCCCAGCACAGTGCCTGACATAACGGAAGCATCAAATCATTATCTGTCAATGGTCACATACGTTTCTGACTCTGTTGTCTCTCTGCGGAGCACCCCATTCTTCCTTTCCATTCCCCAATAGCTCCCACCCAGGCATCATGCCTATAGCTAGGATGCTGAGTGCGCAGTGCTGTGCAGGCCTGCTCACCTCACTGCAGGACACAGAGGCCCATTCGCTCCACGATGAGCTGTAGTAGCGGTCCCGGGCCCGCACCTCCACCTTTGAAATCTTGTGGCATGAAACTGTGGCTGAGGTCTTGTCTGTGAAGAGTTCGTATTTCTGCAAAGAGGAGGGAAATCTGTAAGGCCCACTGCCCATGCAGTCATGGGCAGGCCTGGTCCAATTCTGCAGACATGATCTTCCTGACATGCACCACCCGTCTCAGGTGTGCCCTAGTGAGTCACAGGAGCTTGCACCACCTGCTGGCAGGTGCACAAAACACAGATGTGATTGCTGCTTTGCAACCAGTGAAAGAAATGGTTTGGCCCCACTTTTATCTTTCTGCACAGGTGCCCTGTCACTGCAGCGCTAGGCAGAGACAGACTTTCTCTTGCTGTCCCCTGGGTATTTAGAAACACGATATGGTGACCCTTTCAGCACACAAATCCTTCAAATTCTGCTGCTGCTACTTAACAGTTTTGGTACCTCAGGCCACTATCTTAGGCTCTCTGCATCTTTCTTCATTTATCAACAGTGACAACAATGCTTATTTCCTAGAATTGCAGAAGTTAAAGATAATAATCATGTAAAAACTTTGAGCCAGACTTTAGTACCTAACAAGTACCCCCTGTCACTCACTAGTCATACATATTTCTTAAGTAGAAAGGTACTGCTCAGATTTTAGGTAATATCTGGGTAAATCTATTCCAGGATGGTCCCTTCTCCCCACTTTCTCTTTTTTTTGGGGAATGACTAAGTCTCAGAGTCTCTGCCACATGCTAACTGCTATGCTGAAGGAAACCTTTTCTCCTGACTTTACAAGTGGGGGCTGGGACTCTGTAAAAGTGTCCCTGGAACTTTGCAAGAGGCAAAAAGAGGTATGACACTAAGGTATGAAAATTGAAAAGCCGTTGCTTTAGTCTACGGTGAAGTAATTTTATAATGTTTGGAATAGTCATATTGGGCGAGGTAAGTATGGATGACTTTATTTGGTCAGTTGAAACAATCATTTTGGTTTCTACAGCCTAGATCTCCTATTAGGACTAATTTTGGCCCAGTGAGTGATTGGCCAGAATGAAGCCAAGGGGGTGGGTAGGTTTGTGGCTTTTGTGTCTGGAAGACTGAATCTGTGTCCTAGGTCTGTCACTTCCTCACTTCCTGACTGTCACATCCTTTCTAAGGATGACCTTAGACAGGTCACAACCTTTCTAAACTTCACTTGTCAAGCAGTGATAATAACACTAGCTGGCATTACTGGGTTAATTGTGTGGATTAAATGAGATACACGCGGAAAGTGCTTAGCACCGTTCCAGCGAGTGCTAACACATAGCAGCTACAAGCAGCTACGACCACTGTTCATTCCACCCTAGCATACACGGCACCTGGGTCACACCTTACCTTTTCTCTCCTGTTCTTGTTCTTGCCATGGGTCTGCACTAAGAATGTCAGGGAGAAGTAGGAATGTGGAGTGCTCCAGGTGTCAGGATACTCCCAGCTGACCTCCACCTGCTGAGAATTCACTGATGGCTTCAGCTGCAGGTTCTTCGGTGGGTCTGGTTTGACTGTGGAAGTGGACAAACACCACTTATTTTTCTGAGTGGGGCTTTGGAATTAGGTGTGGTTTTGGCTTCTAATCCCCTCGCCCCTGTGACCAGCTGTGAGTAACACAGTATTTCCTCAGCTTCTGTGAGCACGTGGCCAGCACGTGGGAGACCCCTCTGCTGCTGATGCTCACGGGAGGAGGTCATCTTCAATGGCCACAGCCTTTACTTTGGAACCCAAGAGAAGCTCAGAATCCTTGTCATCAGTGCACCATCATATGGGCGATGGTGGTGTTACCACCTCTGCAAGATATGCAGAAAAGAGCTCTGAGGGACTCTCCTCTCTGAGGTCTGCAGGGAAGGACCGTCTTCCCCACACTTGACATACAACTGAGCTGAGCTGAGTCGCTCACCAGAGATATAATGAGAGAGTTTCCACTTCCTGCTTCCTTCTGTCTTTTCATAGATGCTGGCACTAACTTGTCTTGTAGCAGAGTTGACTGTCACTCTGCTCATTTATTTTTTTCCATAAATAATTACCAAGCACTCAATTAAATGACAACACTGGACTCGGGTTGGATGATACAGCAATGAATAGCAGGAAACCTTCACCCCCAGGAGGGAATTTTCTGCTTCTTCAGGGGAGAGGAAATTTTCTATGGACTGTGCATAAGCTCTGGAGGCCAGCATTGTTTCAAAGACCATGGCTCCTAGCAGGTGCAAATATTTTTTTCCCCTGTTCTTAATACAACTGACATCTTTCCGTTAGGTCTCAGCTGAATGTCATCTTCTCTGAGAGGGTTTCCCTGGTCACCCTGTGACCTACAACCCACCCTCTCTCGTCTGCCATGTACAAACTTTCCTCAAATTCTAGAGCAAGTTCTGTGATCCTGACCCTATCACACCGCATCGTGATGCTTGTTCAAAACACAAATGGTAAAGAAAATGATGATTGATGAAATTGTATTTGCCATTTAAAAAGATGGGTGTCAATTTTGGAGGAGTTTATATAAATCACTCTTTGAACACAAACACGTATCTAATTATTATAATACTATCACTTGCATGCCATTAATTGGGAAGTTCTGGTTCTGAGTATAAATATGACCGAGGCACTCTTGTGTCATCTAAAGGATACAGAAGTGTGGCAAAGAGTGCCCTCTCTCTAGTGGGGCAGAAATGGGTCTGGATTCCAGGTGGGAGGCCTGAGATCTGGGACAAACAGCTTAACATGTAATGCATGTGGATAATAGCACACCCCTTGTACATTTTTGGGGAGGGGGCGCTGAATCAAAGGAGATTACATATGAAGCCCTTTCTCATCCAGCACCTGGGGCACTGTCAACATGTGACGAACAGCATCCTTCCTTCCTTCTGAGATGCATATAAACGTTTCAAACTCACTGATGTCTCTGATGTAGAAGCTGCTGGTGTAGTTTTCATACTTGAACTTGTGAATAGCATCCACCACCACCTCAATGGGGAGGCTCTCTTCGGCCGTGGGGCAGGCGCTGTCCTCCTGACACTCCACGGAGTACTTATACTCCTGGTTGTCCCCAGACACTCTCTCTGCTTCTCCACAAGTCACTCCTGAGGGGTCTGAGGAGCTAAGACAGACAGAAATCAGCTTGCGTGTGGTGAACAAGTTCCCAGTGACCAACCCTTTCAGGGAGAACACGCCCAGCGTTCAAGAGCTAGAAACCCACACTTACATACCTTGCCCTAAGTGAATCTGGAAAATTTGTTTTAGATCCAGAGTATCTGATTATATCCCTTCTTAAATTTTCAGTTATTTTTTCTTATGCTGATAACAAAAATCAATATAAATACACCAAGTAAAAAAATTAAAATGTTAAAGATGTGTTTGAAGGTGATATTACATGGCTCCATCTGCCTTCAAACTCTAACCTCATTCCCTAGGCAGAATAGCTTCTACAGCAAGCTATCTACAGAACGTGGATCCCTCCAGACTTATTTCAGTGAATAGTCAAGATGACCATGTATCTACGTGTATATGTGCACACGTATATATTATCTATATGTCAATGGGGTTTTTAAATAAAATAGGATCAGATTACATACGTATGATTTTGTAACCATGTTTTCCCCGTCTGAAAATATTGTGGTAAACTCTCCATGACAGAAAATATAGATTAGGTTACTCATTTTTTTTTTTTTTTGTCTTTTTCCTTTTTATCGGTACTGGGGATTGAACTCACGACTGCCTGCTTGCAAGGCAGGCGCTTATGCCGCTGAGCTAAATCCCCAGCCCCAGGTTACTCATTTTAACGAATGTCCATTGAGCGAGGGTATCACGCACTATATTTTATTTAACCATTCCTTTGCCGATTGCACAAAATGTTACAGTGCACCTCAGACATGAAGCTATGTGTTAAAGCACTGGTGTGAGAATTTCCCTAGTAAGTGTTTTCATTTTAAAAGTGGGAAAGCAAGCTCCTAATGCTAAATCTACTTATTCAGATGGAGGTAAAGCCAGATGGTCACCTGGGGTTTGTTCCACTGTCCCCCACTGCCAGAAGCTCAGACGATGATTAAATTCAGGTATATATAGGGCTAACACGTGATCTCTGAATCCCTGGGAATTGGTTTCTTGGGGAAAGTTTTAAGTGTGCTGGACAAAAAGTGGTCATGGGATGAGTTGCACTCATGGGGAAAAAGGGGTTGGAGTGGCCCTGGGAAAATTTCAGGAGGCTTCAAGGCATTCAGTTTTGGAATTTGTTTTAGTGCCTCCAAGATCTATGCCCCAGAGCACTTGTTTCTATTTTTGACTCCAGGTACATTTCAGTGAATCATTTGGAGCTTTGATTTCTCCGTTTTACTGTTTCCTGTGGAGCTATCAGCTTTAATGAAGCCTTGCCAGGCGATTTGGATGAGACTATTCTCAGGAATCTCTAATGTCCTGCTCCAATACATGCATTTGTTTAGAGGACTGGCTTAAATAGCCACATTCTTTCTTTAGTTTAGCCAATGGGGCAGTTGAAAAAACATGAGATTAACTTGGTTGTTCTCCTTGTCATGAACTGATGAAGCACTGATACTTTGCTCTTATTTTCATAATGAAATAACTGCATCAAACTCTGAAAACCAGAGTGGCTTCACTTACCCTCTGCTGCCCTTGACACTGAACTTCACATCAGTACCGAATGCCGTCAGCCACCAGCAGGTGAAACGTCCAGAATAACTCCTTGCTTCACATTTCAGAAAGGTCTTGCCATTGGATCCTAGAATTTGAAAAGAAAAAAAATCCAAACTTTTGTATTGTTTTGAGGACAAGGAGATAAAAATTTCACTATCCAAGGTAATAAAATTACCTTTCTGTTCCTTTAAAATATCAGTGGACCAAATTTCATCTTCCTTTTTGTGAAGTAGCAGTTGTGACCGGCTCAGAACCTCGCCTCCTTTGTGACAGGTGTATCCTCCAGCATCTTCAAACTCTTTGACCTGGATGGTGAGGGTTTTACCAGAGCCTAAGATATCACTTTTCCGGTCTGAGGTCCATGTGATGCCATCTTCCTCAGCAGTGTTGCAGGTAAGAACCACCGTCTCTCCAGGAGCATCTGTGTGCCAATCCAACTCTACCACGTACACTGGGGAGCATGGGGAGTAGAGATCAGGCTATAAGCTAAGTGATCTTTTGAAGTGTGTTTTATTCACTCTCTGCTCATCCACCCTCCTTGAGCACAAACTTGTTCATAAGTATTTGGCAAATGCTTCCTGAGAGGATTTTATAACACTGGCTTCCGCTTGGGCTCAAGGTCATAGAATTAAGAAACAACTGAGAGTTATATAGACGCCAACAACCCATTAACTGGCAAGCTGCCTTTGATAATTAATTTCTAATTAGTGGACACATGGAGGAAAGACCTTGATGTGTCAAAAAAAAGTGTAAGCTGCACAAGATTCTTGGCCAAAAGTTTGATGGAGATAAACTTCAATACAATTTCAGTTTCATAGGGAATAAGGTAGGATACAGTATTGAGCAGAGAGTGGTTTGAAGCACTGAGGGCCCCAAAACACTGATTAGAATTGAAATCCTGTCTTAGTTAACTGGCAGGGGCATCTACAGCAAGGTGTTTAACCACCACCTCAGTGTTCTCATCTGCCAAATGATAATAAACATTATAATAACAATAGCATGTACATTTTAGGCTTGGTGTGAGGGATAAGTGAAAGAAGTATGTAAAGCAATCAGCACAGAGCCTGAAAAGCACTGAACTCTGGTGTTATGGTTATTCATAGACCAAAGAGTCAGCCAACTGTGCTGAAAAACTCCTGAAATTTTCCATGGGGATTTAAGTATTGAGTTTCTTGTGCATGAAACCCAGAAAGGGAGAGTTTCCTTATCTCTATTTTTTTTTGTGTGTGCATCTTATATTCTTATGAAGCAGCCAGATATATTTTAGTCTTCTCATTTTATAGAGCAGTGTATAAAGCCAAGGGGCTAACCTAGGTCACACCTATGATGTTCTGCAGGATGAGAGCTATACCTCAGCCCTTCTTGTTTCTTAGGGTTTTTGGTGGATATCTAATGCCAGTTATCCAAAATGACACTCGAGAAATGGCTCAGTATAGTATTACAAAGAATGTCACATCAAAACTTCATCCTCCCCTTTTTTTATCCATGCATCAATTACTGAGTAGAACAGTTTAAAGCAGTGGCTCTCCAAACCTGGTCACCCAACCAGCAGCAGTGGTATCTTCAAGAGAAGTTGTTAAAAATTGTGAATTTTCAATTGCCGAATCAGAAACTTTTTGGATAGACCCAGTGATGTGACTTGTAAACCTCTACCCCACCCTAACAGATAATTCCGATGCCTTATCAAATTTGACAGTCTCTTCAGTGAAGAAAAAAGCCTGGATTTTTAGAGGGACACAAGTCTGAATTAGAACCAGCTCTCGGCCTTATACTGGCTTAAAGCTTTGTGCAGGAATCATTCAATTACTTTAAGCTTGGATGCCATCATCTTTAAAAACATTAGCACTTGCCTCAGAAAGTTGTCATGAGGATTATAGAAGCTAATTCACCCGCACTTTGCATAGTGCCCTTAAAAGCTCTCCAAGCAGATGGCTTTTGTTACTAGACCTCGTACCCTATGATAAAGCACTGGGAAATTCAAAGTTCTCACGTATGTCAGTGGGATTTGTAACTCCAACAGAGATAAGAGTCATGAGAACTTGGAGCCCAACTGTTTGGAGATGATTAGCTGTGCTGACATAAGACCATACAGAACTTTTGGCTCTCTCTAGTTCCATGCTGTCCCCTGGGCAACCGAAGAGCAACTGAGACTCAGAAGCCCTAGAAGCCATTGTAGCCCTTGGCCCAAGAGCAGAGAAAACGATGCTAGAGAAATGCTTGTGAGGAACAACCAGAAGCCGGCAGTTGGCTGAAACCCGGAAGCTGGTTTCCCACATCACAAACCCACTGTGTTTCTCACAGTGACGATCTGGAATTTCTGTGGTTTACCAAACCTGAAGCAACTAAGGAGTTAAATACACAGGGCCACTGTGAAATGCTAGCAGAATAGAGGAAGCTCCTTATTCTACCAGTACCTGTTCTAGTAAGCTACAAACAATTCTAGTTTATCACTGGGATAACAGAAGAGCATAGACTGTATCTTAAACAGCACAAATAATTCTAGCTAACCTTTACTTTCACTTTACTATCTAATGCATAGTCTTCTATATTCATTAACATACTTAATAACTCACGCAGTAGATGTTACTTTTTATACTCAATTGATAGTTGAGGAAACAGAGGCTCCACAGTGACCCAGCTCTGTTTACAGAACCAATAACTGGCAGAACTAGGACTTGAACCCAAGCCTTGAGAATCTCAGTTCTGTGCTTTCCCTCTCCCAAGGGCTCAGTGAGTGTAAGTCATCAGAGTGCTAGCTTAGGGCACTCCACGATGTGGTGAGATGGGAGATAACAGAACATAGGTTAACACTTTTCTTTTCTTTTGGTACCAGGGATCGAACTCACGACCACCTGCTTGCGAGGCAGGTGCTTATGCGCTGAGCTAAATCCCCAGCCCCAATACTTTCCAAAACACTTTGGGATTCAGGGTGTGTGAAACACCTGGCAAAGACAATGTGTCTTTTCCCACACGAAACTCCTTTTGTGGCATCCAAAATGAAAACCAAATGGTCTGGATGCCCTGAAAAGAGATGAAAGTGGCCCTGCACTGTCCCAGAGCCCACGGCAGGACTGCCCATTGCAGTCTGATTTCTCAGCTGTGTTGCCTGCGGGCCCTGGCGAGGGAGGCAGGAGAGGTTGGTTACCGTCTTTTTTCAGTTCCCACATGGCCAGGAGGGGAGATGCCAGCAACACCAGGGAGAGCCAGGAGGAGATCAACTGCCGGTGACACATCTACGAGGAGCAGGAGAAACGGAAGGAAGAGAAGAGCAAAAGAGAAAGAAGAGGCAGGAAAAAGGAAGAGATAATGTCAGTGCTTACTCAGGTAGCTTTGGAAACATTCATAGCCGGTCTACATTTTTAATGACCCCTTTCTTCACACTGTTAGGATAATAGCATGAGAATCACAGACACCCCAATCCAGTCTCTGGCTAAGAATGTCTCCAAATAAGAACATGGGCCACTGGGGCTGAAAGAAACAGGTCTAGCTGTCTGATACAATCCTCTTATTTTTTAAGATGAGAAGCATAAGATTACAAAAGGAAAATGACTTTTCTTGACCAGTGTTCAGCACTGTTTATTTCGTACCCGCCATACTGCTAATGTAATAGTTAACAGCATTGAGCTAAGGAAGTTGAGAGTGAAAAGTGGGTTTCACCAACACCTTGCTGTCTAGGAGCAAATATTTTCACTCAACAAATATTTATTGGATCAGTGTATTAGCTACTTCCCTTCCAGCTGGGGACATGAGCTGCATAACTGTATCATAGTAGTACAAGGCAGTATGTGTTGAGATGCTCAGATATAAAAGTCACAAGAGGTAACTTTTCAAGCCCGGTGACAGCCTGTGGAAGCTTAGTTTCTTTTGTTTTGACGGCGGTTGTCACAAATTCCAAAATGACTCCCTCTCGTGTAAAGTGACATAACAGTTCTCAAGCTTGAGCTCACAGCAGAATAACCTGAATTATTATTAAAATGGACAGCTGGCTCTTATGCCCAGGATCGGATTCAGTACATCTTGGGGCAAGGCCTGAGGATCTGCCTTTCTCGTAAGGTTCCAGGAGAAACTACTGTTCTAGGGACCACACTTGGAGAAACGGACAGTTTAAACCACGTTCTTGTTTCAGAACTCCTGAAATCCATGGTGTTTCTTGGGAGAAGACCATGAAATACTGACACATTCACCATGAAATAATGCCTTACACAATTTTGTGCTAATGTGGCCACCATCTTATATTAAAACTCATTATAAATTATTATCCTGGGTTTCTGGAAATCTTCAGATTGTGAAAATTACACCCCACTTATAAATTAGGCTGAGAAGATTATTGTCTAATTTCCTTCTGAAACACTCCCACCCATCTTGGGGAACACCAGCCATGCTGTCCCTGAGTATGTCTTTTATTTTTAAATGATAATTCTACCGATCTAAAGCATATGGAGAGCAAGGCTTAAATGTTTTAGGCAAATCCCTTGGTCTGGGACCATGGTTTTTGTCAGAACTGCTGCTGGCTTTAGGAGGATCTTACTCTGTGCTTTATTCCCTTATTTCACAACCTCGTGAGTAGCAGAAACAAAGGTAGAAATTAGACCTTGTATATTGCTCAGTGTACTCTTGGCCCTTCAGATGGAGCGTTAGGGACCTGGTTTTCAGTTCAACCCGTGTTATGATTATAGCAAAGTAGTACTTGGCAGAGGGAACTGGTTGATACAATCATAGGTTTGGAGTCAGGAAGACATGGTCTTGAATTTTGGTGCCACCTCTCATAGCTGTATGATGTTGGTCAAGTTACTCTGAGCCTCAGTCTCCTCATATATAAAATGTGCATAAGTAAAGGGATTATGTCGTCTCAAAGTGTTGCTGGCGAATACAATGACATGACATAGTACAGATGACAACTGTGACATTCACTTGTCCCCAGAAGAAGAAAAAAGGGAAAAATAGACCTCTCTGTGTTGTGGGTACAGTGGATTGCCAAAACTGTTGTGATAGGCTATGGGGAAATGCCCATAGAGGTACTACAATTCACATGGGTCAGTAAATCTCAGATGTCAGTGCTCTGCAAAAGGAAGCAATGTAGGTTCCTGGCATCTCTTGGTGACTCTTTTATACTCTCTTAATGTCAGGGTTTTCCCTTGGGCCATGTGCCAAGCACTTCCTCTCTGGGCCTCACATGGATCTGAGCATTGCAGGTGAATTGCACTTCAGGGTCAAGGGAGCCCTGGCAATGCTCCTAAGAAACAACTCTGATTCTGGCATCTCTTAGGGCAGAGGGTGAGGATCAAATTCAGATAAACAAAACAGGGTGCACCGTGTAGCCATCCTCCACTGCCCTGGCTGGTCAGCTGATGCCAGGAACTGTGTCTCTCAGCCCCACTCCTTGCCTCAGGAAGTTTGAAAGTCTTGAAGATTAAAATTTTTCATGCAATTTTATAGGTTTTCTAAATTCCTGAAACCTTTGCATAAGGGGCAAAGGGACGCAGGTTAAGTATTCCTGCTTCCTGTACCTAACTCTGGTACCAGTATAGCATTCCAGTCACACTCGATGGGCATCTCTCTCTCAAGTGCCATTTCATTTGTTACTTTGAATTCAAAAAGAGAATTATTATTTAAAAATAAGACATAATCACAGATGGCATGACTGAACACATGTAAAGTACCCCAGTTCAAGAGCCACACAGGTCTCAAGAGTTGGCATGCTTGTTCTACCATTTATTAGTTGTGTGATTCTGGGTGGTCACGATGACCTCTTTGAGCCACTCAATCTGTAAAATGCTAACCTTGTTGGGGTGAGGAGCTAATGGAATAATTTATGCAAAGTGTCCCCAGTGGTGCCCAGATGAAGTCAGAACCTCTGACTCCACGCTCTCTTTCTTCCTGAGTACAGTGGCAAACTGATTACAGTGGCAAAAAACGTGGTCGCTTAATGTTCATCTGTTTGCTACTCTCAGGTCTCTGACTGTGGGTAGGGCCTGGGACTGTCTTGTTTTACAATTTTCAGAGTGTGGCCTAGAGAGTTTCCCCAAATTGTTAGTAAAACAAATGTAAAAAAGTCATTCCTGAGCCCGGTAAAATGAACTTTAAGAGGTTACCCAAGTTCTGTATACAATTTTAAAATTCCTTATTTGAAAAAAGTGAGCCACCAGGTAGGGTGCATCAATCCCTTTGTTGAAGTGACCGTTTTGTTGCACATGGTTTTATCTGGGCAATTACAGGCATCAGTATAGTAAAAATTATTCCTGCCCCTCTTTGCCCAGGTTTTGGAACCCTTCAGAAAGCAAGTTTTAAATATTACCACTTGCTTCTCACTTTCTATGTTCGGCCACAATTAATCAGTCCAAAAGAAACAGAGACCCAATCTATCCAATTTAGTTGATAACTGACTATAAAATCCATCAGACATATGAGAGCGAGGATGTTCTGAAATGATCAGTGAGGAGGTATAATAAGTATAAATTTAATAACATTAAGAAGTTAAGAAGCTTTTAAAAAGTTTTCACTACTAAGGCAAGTACCACTTACATTAACTGGATACCACCCTTGAACTGATGGATGATAATACTTAGGGACACACATTTACATATGCATACACGAAGACAAAACAAACCTTTCTATCTGACATGCATTTGTTTGCAGGCCTTGAATTTATACAGCTGTGTTACAATCATTATTAGCTGGTTCTAAAAAATTGACACTATATACATCAGCCCCCAAAGCCCTTAGTCTTCATCAGTGTCCCAGCAGGTAAGTCCCCAGGGATTCTTGAGGGACATGAAGCATCTCGCTCCATGCCACCAGTGCAGGGTGGCCCCGAGGCTGAAGAAAGCAGACAGGCAGGTGCTTACCTTGCTTTGGTGGAGGCTGCCGCGTCTAAGGGCCCTGGAACCTTTGTTGGTTCTTCTGCTCTTGTTGCTGCTCCTGGAGCTTATATATTCCACTCCTACTGAGCTTTCAGATGGAAAGCCAAACTAGAAAATGATTTGTTAGAAGTTGCAACATGAAAAACTATTCTCATAATTTCTGGGGGAATTTTAAGAAGTTCCTCCCCCACCCTCTCTTTCTGTGTGTGTATCAATAATCTCAGGGAAAGTAGACATCAAAATCCCAGGTAGAAGGAAATGGCTTTAGGGTGGAGAAAAAGGAAGGAGATTGAAGATGCTTATTTCTTTAGGTTTACATCATGACTGAGGGCTGAGCGAGCACTAGGCAACGTCCCTAGGTTTCATGGACGAAGCAGGAAGCTGAATTCGAATTGGGATGGAGCAACCGTATGCTAAGAGACTCTCAAAGTCAAGGAGATGAGACGATGGGCCAAAGCTCTAGTGTCCCGGGGCCCTTGTCCTTGCATTATTCCATCAGCATTTGGATTTCAGACATAGCAGACCCCCCGGACATTCATCTAGGCACAGCCTGGGAAATGACAGAAACGTGGGTACCACAGAGACGTCCCGTGCTCACAGGGACTTGTTCACAGACAGATGGCAGGGGAAAGTGAAAGAGCCACTGGCAAGCACACCACCTATGCAGCACTCGAGGGTGTCCTGCCGGGGCACCCCAAACTGCACCCTCATTTCACTGGCGCGCACGTCCGCTCTGGGCAGATGCACAGGGCTAGCAGAATAAAGATGTCTCTTCCAGGGGAATGTAAAACTGCTAAGAACCATGCAGAGGGTATAGGTTGGTGTGGCATTCCCACCTCCACCCGCAGCAGCAGCAGCATACATACATACACACCTCCCCTCGCTTCAGAACACCTAACCAGTGCGGGCTTTCTCCGAGCCGCCGAAAGGGGGCGTTGCGCCCCGGAACGCAGCCTGGCTGGCCGCCTTCTGCGACCCAGCCCCAGCCGGCTGCCTGGAAAGTTCCTGGGGCAGAGCCTGCACTCTGCTGGGTTTCGAGAGGGTGCAGGTTTCTGAGCTAACTTTCTTCGCAGTGTCAGCCAACGGAGAACGGGAAACCCTGGCGAGAGCGGCGGAACTTCCCACTTCCTCTCGCCAGCTGTTCCTCTCTGCCGGGCCAGGCCGGAGTCCCAGTGGTTAGCGACAGCAGATTACCTCCAGTTGGGCAAACTTGGCCTCATGGGCTTCAGGTAAAACCGAAGTTTGTATCGAAGATGCCTTGTTAGGCGAACAAACTGGCTGCATTGTATATTAGTTGTATGCTAATATTTGTGTGTGCACGCGTGCACACACAAGTGCACTTTTCACAGTTGATTTCTCAGGGAAGTGCACTTTCCATACTTGGATTTTTTTTTTTTTTCTGCTGTTGCCTTTAACAGTGTACATACTGAAATATGTAACGACTGGGGCAGGGGTGGTCTTTCAGTAAAAATACAGCAATTTCCTCCAAGCAATCGCTAAAAGGTCCTGAACAGGAAACTGACTACGGAATTATTGTGAAAGAATTTCACTAATAAATACACTTTGACTACATCACTAGGGATAAGCCCTTATGCTCCCCATCAGTAAACATAAATACAAAGTAAGACAAGACCCAGAAAAGACAAGAATTTTATTCACCAAAGCATCTTCAAAAATTGAGAAAAACATATGATTTGTAAAAAAACAAAAGATACACAGACAAACAAACAAACAAAAAACCCAGTGACAATAATGTATTAGTTATGCAAAAGAAACTGCGAGGCGAGCCACCAGCTTCTCTCTTAGGATTGCAGATTGGGACGGTCCTCGGTCCTCCAAGGACAGACAAGTAGAAAGGTGTTCCGGAGGTCAGGCTGTGCAGTCAGAGAGCTGGATTCTAAACCCCACTCTGAGCCTCACAGCTGTAAAATGTAGTTAATAATAGTATCTAATCTAATCCTGTAACTAAGATTTCATGGAATGGATTTAGCACAGCACCCTGGCAAGTACTTAATAATGGCTACTTTAACTATTTTATTATCCCAGAAAGATTTTTGTAGCTCACGACGGGACATCAAAATGACAAGGAGTGGATAGAGGGAAATCCTTGTGAGGAGCGGAACTCCTAACATTCCTTGCACAGTGAAGTTGTTTGGCTGTGACTGAGCCGCTCACTGAAGTGGTCATCAAGGCAGCCAAGATGAGAAAGATGAGCTTGACCTCACCTTATCTCTGCTCCATGGGCCTGTTTTGATGAGTCCTGGCCGCTCATGGAGAATACAGTTCTCAAGTTTTATCTGCATCAAACCACATCAATAGTCAAATTTTCAAGACCCAAGCTCCCGTAGATCTGGGGTGGGACCCAGGACCACGCATGCTGACAATGAAGGCTGTGATATCGTGGACAGGCAGTTCTCTGTGGGTACCGTGGCTGATACTTTGCATGCCTGTGTATGACACTCTGCATGCCTGTGTCCCACTGACTGGAGATGCTTCCCATGCCTCACTAGTTTCTGGACACTCCGCAGGATCAGTCAGCCCAGTGTCCGCCACTGACTCATGTTCTCAGAAAGGGTTTATCAACTTGTCCCAGCTCCCAACTCATAGGTGACCCAGGCAAACTGAACCAAAGCTGCAGAGCTCCCTGAGCTCACTGTCAACGTTTACGTCAGTGGCCCCCAGCCGCATGAAATTATGGACTCGCCCAAATCTAGCGTTTGTGATTGGTTCATTATTTAGCGCTCGGATTGGTGGTGTGAGTGTTCCACCCACCCAGGAGTGGAGCCAGCATAAGTTGTAATGGCGGGAATAAGGTGTGTTTCTGTCCCTTGCGGTTCGCTCTCTGCAGCCAGCCATGAATGGCGCCTGCCATGCCACCCTGCCACTTAGAGCCAACTGAGTATGAATCAAAACCTCCAAAACTGTAAGAAATCAACCTTTCCTCCCTTCACTTTGAAAGTTGGATAATTTGTCCAGCAACGAGAGAAAAGTAACCAAAACACCCACCCCGTGGGTGAGGACGGTCCGCTGACCTCCAGCCACATGCCGAGCTGCCAGCTGGTGTGCCTTGTGATTAAGCTGTGAGAGGCCATCCTCCTTGAAACCGAAAGTTACTTGAAGAATTTTTTGACCACAAATGCTACTCCCTTGCCCCGAACTTCTAGCTTTGAACTTCTAGTACACATTTCCAATAAAGGAGAAGTCGTTTAAAACATTAAAATGCTTAGAAAATTGTACCAGTAATACATGCATATGGTATTATCAAACAATAAAAAGTGCGTATTGAATAAGAAGTTGAAGGCCTAATTTGAGAGGCTCCTGGAGGTAGCCATTGACAGTATTTTGCTAAATGTTCCTTCAGAGTTCCTCGAAACTTCTTTACGTATTTATAGCTATCTGGCTACATAAATTGGGTCATAAGCTTCCATTATAATTGGGTTTGAACAATCCAATCATGTAACATTCCCAAGTCACCACTGAAGTGTGCTGTCATGGTGGTGACAGAAAAGTGTCACATTTGGAGGCGAGAGACCGCCTCAAATAAGTGGGCTCGTTGAATTTTTTTCAAGTGTTTTCAGATACAGATTTGTCGTTTTAATGCTTTGAATAAGACTCCTAGCATCTCTATTGCTTAAGGGACAGAGATGTCTTCAGCAATCTCCTCCCCCTCCATGGTGACTCTGGTCACATTTCTTCAGTGTCATCTTTCCTTTCTTGGCTCATGAGAGGAAGGTAGAGGCTGTCAGATGCAGTCACTGCTTCGTTTCATCACCCCAGTGGACACCTTTGGCTTGCATAACTGGATGGACTGCGAGGTAAGTCAGATGTTCCACTTTGGCCTTGATTTTGCTATTTGCATATGAAAATCTTTGTCTTTTCCTCTCTGTAATCCTTTGTTAATCCCAGTGAAAGGAATGGGTGTGCTGGGGCAACCGGAAGGAAGTAGGTGTGTTCTGGAAATGCTTAGGTGAAGGTGTGGGAATGGTTGACCTGGTCTGACTGTGAGTAGAGACAGGTAGAACAAGGCAAGGGAAGGCAAGCTGGAGAGACCAAGTGTGTGGGGGAAAGGCCTCTCCTGGACTATCTACTCCACTCAGCAACGACTGACTTATTAACTGGCCACCCCTGTGTTTGTGGATGAATCGTTAAACCACCATACAGTAAATGGTTTTCCAGATGAGAAATTGTTTGATCAAAAATGAGGACCCTGCCGTTTGCATGCTTCTGCTGTGACTTAATCTGAAACCCACAATTGAGACTGCGTTTGTTTTTCTGCTCATAGAGAATTTATATTTATCTGGGATTCTATTGTATCTTGATCTGAAAGTCTGCCAGGTCTTCTGTCCGTCATTTTAAATGTACTTTTTGGTTTTGAAAACTAACTATCTGTCTGTCTGTCTATCATCTTTATTTGCTCTTGACTAGTTACTTTAACTGATCTCCTTAGTTGAAAAAAAAAAAAGAAAAGAAAATCAGGGGTGAGATGATACATGCCTGCGATCCCAACCTACTGGGAAGTGTAAAGCAGAAGGGTACAGTTCCAGGCCAACATGGACAACAAACAAACAATAAATAGTGCAAAGTACAGTCACCTTTCAGTCATGCTACGTGAACATTGTCACCGTGAGTCCCTCAGCACTATCTCTCATGCGAGGCAATCCTATAATATTCTGATAAAGTGAAGACAACTCAGGTTGACAGAAAAGGTATTATCCTTAGCTAAGCTGTTGTTGGGACCAAAGGGGTAAATGGTCTTCTAAGATCTGGGTGTTGAGAAGTAGGAGGTGGAGATAGCTCCTGGGAGGAGGGAGGTGGGAGAGTGGGGCATCAGTCCTGAGGCTTAGGAAAGGGGAACAGTAACCTGGTATAAGTCGATGACTGACTACTACCCTGCCTCAAAGGAGGGAGTCCTCTTTGGGCCTGTGAGTGACCTCAGGTCTCCACAGATATCTCTGCAAATATAGCATGGGGCCCTGGCTCACTTTTACACCAAAACCATGAAGAACATTGGTTGATAAGGAGGAAGGGAAAGGTTAAGAGGACTCAACAAACCCCCTCAGCTATGTGCTTGGGCACACAGAGCAGACCAATCCTCAACAGATTGCAAGGACGCAGCTAAGAGTCTTCATTTCTGCATCCAGTTGGATAATCAGAGTTCTGTACAAAGGAACACTGACAGATGTGACAATTAATTGTCCATGTATTGCTGTTTGCAGTACGCTTGTACTCTAAAATCAGCGATCATTTGGACCCATCAATTCTGAGGCAGAAACTTCCTCTAGGAATGTGGACATTTGTGGGGCAGACTTGAACATGGACCTAATAGCAGCTCATTCTCTAAGGGCTGGGAATTTAGCTCAGTGGCATAAGCACCTGCCTGGCAAGCATGAGGTCTTGAGTTTGATCCCTAATACAAACAAAACAAAACAAAACAAAACAAAACAAAACAAAACAAAACAAAAAACCCAAAACAAAAAAGGCCCCAAGCCAAAATAGCTCACTTTCCTTATAATGCTTGCTTCTTGCCAGACAATGCATAACAGCTTTGCAGTTTGTCCATCTAACAAGACTTTTACAGTCAGAGGCAAAGGAGAAGATGCTGAGATAGATGCAGACTTTGGTTGATGCCTGCCAGCAAGGAGGTGGTGGAGCTGGGATTCTTGGTCTCAGCCACTGCCCTTCACTTCCTCCCTCCAAAGCCAGAGACGCAGTTGTCCTGCACTTTTATTGGTTTGGCTGTTTGCTAGAAAAGCCTTTTGAAATGCTTGGGTTAGAGAGAACCACAGTGAAATACTTTTGCATGATTTAAACTGCGGTTTGTTTACTTGACATTTATTTATTGAGTGACATATACATACCATGCACTGTAAGGTCTGTGAATATAATTGTGAGCAGAGCAGTCCCAGAGTATATTTCCAGGGAGCTGAGTATATACTTCACTCTTTATATCCATGGATTCTGTATTTACACATTTAGCCAACCTCAAATAAGGTATACTCGAAAACCAAATATGTGTCTCTGTACTGAACTTTTTTCTTGTCATTATTTTCTAAGCAATGTGGTTTAATAGCTAGGTAGCATTTATATTGCATTAGGTATTATAAGTAATCTAGAGGTGATTTAAAATATAAGGGAGGATGTGTGTAGGTTATATGCAAATACGAAGCTACTTTACATTACAGACTTGAGCATATGTGGAGTTTGATAACCTTGATAGTCCTCGCACCAGTCCCTCTTGGATACTGTATATGCAGAGGACAAAATGCCATAAAGAATGGGTCACCATGCTTTCAAGAATAACAGATGGAATTATGAGGCAGATCTCACCCAGGTAGGTTAAAAGAGGCCTATTTGAGAATAAGGAACTTTGGATGAGTCCTAAAGGGAAACCAGGATAAGAACAAGCAAGAAGATCTCATGCTGGTGTGTTAGAGGAATGGAAAGGAGGCCAGTGTGACTGAAAGCACAGAGAACAGAGAGATGCCAAGAGGGGCGAGGCAGGCACTGGCCTAGGTGTGTGTTTCAAAGACCCTGTGTAGTGGACATGCTTAGCATGGGAAGATGGAAAAGTCACTGAGCTCAGAAGGCTGTGACCCCTGTACCCATTGTCATAAGCTTGGATACAGCTGATGTTCATGGGAACCGCAAAACATGACTGATTAAACCAGACGTTTCCAATCTGTCTCAGTTCAGGGAGCACTTAGTGCTTTGGTAATTTCTTTCATGGCACCTAGAGGCCAAAGGAAATCTCTAACAGTTCCATTTTTAAGTAGCTAAGACCAAACAGCTTAAAAGGTCCTTATATTTTTTATAGCCTTTTGTAGCTCATTTAAAAATGGTACGTATACCTGGAAAGGAAAAAACACTGATATTTTTTATTGCATTCTAAAATTACAACAGTTACTTGTTAATGGGATGTTGTGTGCCAGGCACCATACAACCCTTCAAACTTTGGAATATGAATGTATACTGCTGCCTTTATTTCCTGTTCTACACTGATTTTCTCGTGGTTTCCCCAGAATATGCCATTTTTGGAAAGGAATATAGCTTGATCTAATGAAACTGTAAGCAACACTGAATTTGTGTGACAGCTGGCGTTCAACAGATATTATATGTCCTTGGAGAAGCTCAGGTATCTCATTGCCCTGTAACCAAATAGATAAGCTTGCCTTAGAACCCTGGGGTGAACCGTTACGTAGTTGGTGAACCACAGAGCAAGACATATTGCTTATGAACTAAGATACTCCTGTGCCTTCAAAGTCATATTCTAAGCACATTTTGTATAAAGATTCCAGGAAGGAAAGTGTATTGTATTTGTCCAGAAATCAATAGGAATCAGCTAGAGTGCTAACCCAGTCTGGCTGGAGGGAGCAAAGGGTGAGAAACACGTGGACATCTTCAGCAGTAGCACGAAAGCAGGTGAGGTTAAACTGTGAGGAAATGAGTGTGTCATATGCAACCGTGATTTTAAGGCCCCTGATGAAGAAATAAGTGCTGAGATTCTGAAGTGCAGGTTATTGTCAAACCTGCAGTTAAACTGGCTGAGCTTTGGGTGTTGCCCCTGAAATCAAGAACATCCTGCCAGGAGGCAATTAAAGAGCAGAAGAGCTGAAATACAAGAAGGACTTTAATGTTTGGCCCTGACAGCACATTCCTGGGGTTGCTCTCATCTGTTTCCTTAGCTGGTTCCCATTCTTGGTGAAAGTGTGAGGATTAGATCTGCCTTGGAATGCCCCAGAGACCTGATGCAAAGTAACTACCACATTATCTCAGAGGTCAGTAGCCAGTAGAGCCAGTTGACAAGTAGATTTAACTCTCTCTTTCTGTGTGACTTAATGTGTACAGGTCTTCCAGGTAAGCTAAGGGACTGATGAAGCCAATTCCCATGGCTACTAGGAGAATGTCTTTACATCATGCTTGTGGTAGCGTGGGAGAGGCATTTAGGTGAAGAATTCTCCGTATCTCTCAGAGGTGGGTAGTGTCTTCATTGATCAACCCCGTTAGCCATGAAGAACTACACTCGGAATGAGGGAGAGTTCTTAGGTTGGCTTAGGTGACTCTTTCTCCCCTCCCGCCCTCCATATTGCATTATAGTGCAGGCTGGCCTGAACCTTGTGATCCACCGACCTCAGCATCCCAAGTGCTAGGATCGAGGTACGTGCTGTCTCCTTCACATCCTGCAGATAACCAGGGTAAGACTTTTTTTTTTGAAAAACTCTTAGGCGGGAAGCTCCTAGTCATTTTGAATGGTTTAATTGTGAGCAGAGGTGTGCTTCTTCATGAGGTGTGCCATCTGACTTCTGTCAGCATATACTACATGGAGGTGGCTTGTAATGAATAATTCATGTAGAAAAAATCCTACTTCATCATTAGTAGGAGTGGAAATGGGACACAGTGATATAATCTCATCAAACATGGGTGATCTGTATTGGGACCATCTTTCTTCATTATGTATTACATTTACAATAAACAGATGCTTGGTTTTTAGGTAGAATATTGGGCATAATAAATGCAATGATCTCCAAAAGCCCAGATGTTTAAATACCACCTTTTCCATTTGTTGTTTGCATGATGTTGACCAATGTAGTCAAGCTTGTGACTGTTTTCCGGTGTTAACATGGGCATTATTTTTCTAGAACCACTGTGACGGGCTGCGAGGAACATTGAATGAGATGCTACATATAGCAGATTGCATGTATACAGCCTCATTTAACACACATATAGTTCCTGTTCAGTAGCTTCCATTGTTTTCAACATTTGATGAAAAGATTGTAAGGTTTTTTGTGTCAAGAAACCTATGTTTTCTTCTCCTTTTATGTCTTATTGTGTTTAGAACAATTTTGGGTACAAAATTAGTACTCAGTGGATATTCTGCTGATTAGTACAGTATAGAAAACTTTTCCCAGTGCATACTTAGGCACTTTTCAAAGCTGCAAAAACACTCAGGGTACCTGGTGGTTAAATTAAGGCTAAAGTAGTCCTTAGTTATGACTTGAGATGCACAGACATCAATTTCCTGTATATGTACTAAAAAAATTACAGTATTCAGACTGAATATGTCTATTCAGATTCTCTAATTGATCCACTGGAGCTTTATGGGCCTATGGCTTGAGGAGTCCTAATGACACAAATGTACAGAGTAAACAAAATTTGGCACTTCGAGGAGCCAGACAGGAAAGGTAAAGAGATGAAGGGTGCCTTGCCCATGATTCTGGATAGCACTGGAGACATTGAAATGCTGGGGAAGTCATGCTCCACCTAAATTCACTTTGAAGCACAACATTATCCCTAAACGAACATGCGTGGGTTGGAAATGGAATGTACTAACTGAATACAACTTCTGGAAAGAGGACATAATGCTCACCAAGTTATTAGATAGCTCAGAATTGTACAATAGGAAACATAGTAAAAATGACTCCTCTTGATATCTCCTTGGCTCTCATGAAAAACATGTACTTATCTCCTCTTTGAAGTGCTTGGGCTATATGTGATTTGAGTCAAATGCAGACACCACATTCATCAGGAATCAAGGGATCTTCAAGGAAATATTGAAGTAAGTGCATTTATTTGTTCATTCTTTTATCCACTCTCTATAACACTTTTATTAATTGCCTCATGTACTTCTGTATTCCCTTCTCATAAGGGTTCACAGTCTAGCCACGCATTCAGGTGACTCTTACAAGGCAGGATAGCAGAAGTGCTCTGGGGTTTGGAGTACATCATAGTAACAATAAGAGACAGATGAGGGGCAGTGAGCTGAGAAAATGCAGGGGCTAAATGTCTGGGAGACCCGGATTGGTGCTCCCTGGAGATCAGTGCCCAGCTCAGGAAAAGCGGGGCATGGAGTTAGCCAGGTGGCAGCGGGTAGGATTGAGCACTATCAACGAAGCCCAGTTCAGATCAGAAGGAAGTGAGTTCTTGCTTCAGCCTCTCTGTTGTCTTCCTTTCCTCACCTATAAAAATGGGAATGACACTGACAGACCTTTAAAGTTGTTACAGAAATTGACAAATCTTCACTGAGTAAATTCTACCTCTGGGGGACTGTGTTATGTGCTTTATACACATCAGCTTGTTTGGTCCTCATGAGAACTTTATGAGGAAGGAATATTTTCATCCCCACTGATGTCTGAGGAAATTGAAGCTCTGAGAGAACGAGTAAGTTGACCGACACAGGGATTTTGAAAAGTGACAGAGATGACGAGATGCCATCTAGGGTGTGATTTGTTGGGACCCTGCATATGAGCTCTTGGTCCAGTGCCCACCCAGCCAATAAACGCTGACTGTTATTTTTAAGGATATTTTAATTTGCTTCTGTTATCGTTATTTTTTGACTCAGGGAAAGCATCTTAGGCTTCATGGAAGAGGTAACGTTTGCAGAATGCTTTGAGGGAGATAGGCTTTGGGCAAAGGTGGTGGAGCAGAAGGAATTCTAGACTACAGCACAGTGAAAGCAAAGGCACAGACGGGGTAGCTTCTGGATGGAGGAGAGAGGTGACTCTGAAGCTGGACCTTAGGCTCTGCAGGAAACAGAAAAGAAGGGCTGTGCTGATGAGGCAGTAAATTAGCGTGGCTGTCTGGTGGCAGACAGTGTGTCAGCACTGTAGCTTTTAAATACAGGAAGTGAGGGAATTGGAGTCTTGCTCAACTCCCTGGGTAGCATCCAATCTGATGGCTCTCACAGTCACCCTCTTTGGGGAGCTCTTCAAACTCCTATGTCCACACGGGCAAGCAGCCAGTTCTGGTGGTGACGCTCAGACCAGAGGAGGAAGCCATGCCTTGAAGACCTGGAGTCCCCATCCGAAAGTCCAGCTTTCGATGTCAGCTCGCCCTTCTATCACCGCAGGCTGTGGCTGGGCACTTGTTGTATTCAGAGGGGAGGGAAGAGAAAGAAACCAGGGAGCAGAAGCCTCTGTTAGTCATGTGGCTTTCTGCGCCGTGGTACCTGTTTCTCCCTTCCCTGGTGATACTTCCCTTAACATCCAAACGCTGTGGCTGCCGGCTGACCCCAGGGTTCTCCAGAGCCAGATGCTCCGGGGTAAAAAAAAGGGGCTTCTTGGGAGGAAATGAAAGGAGACAGATGTGGTTTTGACTTAAAGTTTTCTAATGCAAATTGCTGGGAAGATTCATTTTGAAATAGAAAGATGGGCCTACAAGTGTGATGTCAGGACAGGCATTTGATGTCCTGATGAGAATGCAGAGCTGAGCGGGAGTTCTCCAGCTTGTTTGTTGGAGGCTTGGGCAAGGAAGCTGGCATTTGGAGTGCAAAGGGCACAGAAGTAGGAGCTGAACCCCCTGGGGTCTTGGGTTATGGTGTTTTCTAAAGAGCATATGCCACCGAGGTTATGTTCAACTGCAAAGGGCAACTAATGAGTAAATCACACAGGGACCTGTTCTCCATTTACAAGTTGGTTTTCAGTTCTGATGCTGGCAAGGAGAAAATACTAGTTTGGGGCTAGTGTGTCTTTAACACCTCTTGAGCACTTGTTTATTTCTCTTTATAACAGAGCACTATTGCCCTTCAGCTGCTGAATCTCTTTGCTCAGCTACTGATTCTCTTTGTGCTGAATACCACTGTTTTCTGGGGAAAGCTTTAAGAATTTACTTATGCCTTGTTCTTCTTTCTCCAGAGGCATTTTGACTTAACAGATCTGGGTTCTGACTTGGGCATTAGGTTTTTAATTTTTATTTAAAAAATTTTGTTTTAGCATTAGGATTTTTAAAAGTTATCCAGGCCACCATTTGTAATTTACATTTATTAATTTTCTGCTTATGGCAAGTGATATATCGGTGTTCTCTCCCTCTGTCTACTTCTCTCTGTGTGTCTCTTTCTGTCTCTCTCTCCTCCTTTTCCATGTGTGTGCACAGGTTGAATTTAGGGTGTTTACACTAAACAACATCCTCAGTCTTTTGTTTGTTTTTTTAAATTTTGAGACAGTCGTGCTAAGGTTGCTGAAGTGCTCAGGCTGGGCTCGAACTTGCTGTCCTGCTGCAGCTTCTCTCGTGCCACCATGCCCAGCTCTGATACTGGTTTTCACCTGAAAGCTTTCAAATAACGTTCTCTTTCAATCCCAATTAAATTAAATGGGTAAAATTAATAGGTGCTGTTAAAAATAACTAAATAATACAGGTGGTATTTGGATATGGAATAAAACAAAACATATATTTCATAACTTTGGGAAACTCTTTGGGTCCTTGCACAGTTCTATCATTTTTAATTTCTTGTAGGTCCAGTTTCCTCAACAGTAAAGTGGGAATAATTATCCTAGGTCACCCCCTTCGTGTGTTACTCTGGGGCTCAAATGATTGGGCTTTGTTAAGTTCAACTTGCCAAATAAATATGAAAAGTAAAAGAACGAAGATCATCTGGAGAGAAGGCTGAAGGGCAGATTTCCACTGAACTGGATCTGGTACACCTTAGACCAGACTCTCAGGGACTTCTGATTTCTAGGCACCCGTCGCCCTTAATTCCCACAAGAATGGTTTACTTGTCTTCATTTACAAGTATTATAACTTGTAGTAACGACGTATTTGCTCCAGTGGCCACAAACTAAAGAGTGTTCCAAGTTATATCAGTACTTCGAAGGGCTGCGCTTTATAATGGAAGCTGGATGTCCTCTGTTGCTCCCTCCTTGCCATGACCTTCTCGTTGCATTGCATTCAGAAGGCACTGACCTGGCACTATGCAGACTGAATTCTGCATTCACCAGTAGAGAGTCGTCTGCCATGATCCCAGCGTCATCACATCAGTGAGGGAACTGGACCAGTTTAGGATCAAGTTCAACCTAAAATGCCTTCAGCACCAAAGAGGTGACCCAAGTGGGAGGCCTTACCAGTGGGATAGAGAGTAGTTAGGCCTGTGACAGAATAGGAAGCTCAATCCCACAATAAGGGTGTTCAGATTCGAATTTTGGAAACCATGCTGTTGTCTTAACAACAATTTAGCAAGTGACAACTGGTGATCCTTAGTTGTAGCTTCTAGGATCTCTTTCATTCCTAAAATAGTTTTATAATAGTAAGAGAAATTCTAGGATTCATCCAGGGATTTTTGTGGGACTGTTATACTTAGTCATACCCAGGGGTTTTCCTGATAACAAGAGTTAACATGTATAAGGGCTAATATTCATATGCTAAAATTAAATATGATAAAATTGTTATCTCGTTCAATCCTTGCCCCAATCCTGTAAGGTCAGTCATATTATAACTGCTTCATAACACATGAGGAAATTGAGGTTCAGAGAGTTTAAGTCATTTGTAGGAGATCTCTATAGCATCACTAGCAAATATAAAGTGAGCTACATATGTAATTTTGAATTTTCCAGTATCCATGTAAAATAGAGATGAAATTCATTTCAATAATACACTTTAACATATCCAAAGCATTATCATGTCAAAATGTAATAAATACAAATGAGATAAATTGTATAGCCTGTTTTTATGCTATTTAAAATATGGTAGGCATTTAACTTTTTAAAAAATAGGTTTACTGAGATAAAATTCATATACCATATGATTTGCTCACTTAAAGTATCCAGCTCAGTAGCTTTTAGCATAGTCATGTGTGTAAGTATTCTAATTTTGTAGGCTTCATTACCTAGAGGTAAAGCTTTACCTCTTTTTCTTTAATTCACCTAGCACCTCTACATTCCCCAGTCCTAAGCAACCACAGCTCTACTTTCTGTCTGTATCAATTTTCATATGCTTAATGCATCATGAATGGAATCAAATAACATGTGGCCTCTTTCATTTAGCATAATGTTTTCATGGTTCATCCATGTTAAAGCATATATCACTGCTTCATTAGCTTTATAAGCCAATGTTATTCTATTACGTGAATATATACACATTTTGTTTATTCATTTTTTCTCTGATGGGTATTAGTTATTTCTATCTTTTGGCTATATTATGAACTATGCTACTATGATGTTCTATGATGGAGGGTTCAGGTCTCTCATCTTGCAATATGACACAGAGATGCAAAAGAAAGACAAAGACAGAATATTCTACAGTTAACTAGCTCTGGGGTGACCCAGTGCTTTCTGTGAAACCAAGGGCCATGAGTCCAAAAGCTCATGGCTTTTATTGGTATCAATCATGGAGGTGGGTAGGTGTCATGGCGTTGTGCTGTGGAAAAGAAAATTTTCAGGCATTGGCTGTAAGGAGAAACAGCAATTTTGTACCAGGCACAAAGACTCTCCACTTAGCAATGCAGTGGATAGTTTGATGTATGCTTTACTGCTAGGAAAGCATAATTGTTTTTGAGTTCTATGGCCTCAGTTGAAATGGTATCTCATGTGTTAGCCCTGGAATCTTATAGGCTCTTGCTATAAGCCTCATCAACAGCTGAGCTGGGAGGAGGGGAGTTGGATTCTTGCCCGTGTGCTACGGTGAGACAAATTGAGGTCTTGGCTGGACTTGATCACAGTCTTTCAGCCAATTAAGAGAACATCTGGTTCAATATAGACCACTCTGCATATCTCAGTGAACAGGGCTGAAGTAAAGATCAGGGAAAGATGGAGGCAAGGGCTTTGTTTCTCAGGAGAAAATAGCTTGACA